ATATCGGAGCGCTGGGTATCGGCATGCAGCTGTACTTCATGCTGACGAAATATCTAAGCGTAGTATTCCTTATTATGGGTATTATCTCCCTTCCTGCGATCATGGTGAACGCGTACGGCCACGGAATTACCAGCAAGATGGTGGATCCGCTTCAACTAGCCTACTCTTCAATCGGGAACGGCGGCGTTAACAGCGATACGGCCGCTTCAGCGCGTAGTTGTCTGCCTATTGGAGACATCGACTGCACGTGGGAGACGGTGGATACTCCACTAACGTCGAATCCAAAGACTGTCACGTGGATTGTCACGCTTACGGATGTTTTGTACTCGTTTTCCTTCCTCTGTTTCCTGCTCTTCTACTCGTTTCGAGCCACGAAAGCCATCAACGAACATCAAAACAAACATCTAACACCTGCCAGATACGCTGTGATGGTGCGTGGATTACCTAGACATGCGACGGAGAAGCAGATTCTGGACCATTTCAATAATTTGTATGATCTTAACAAAGACGAGGAGTATCGTAAGCTTTGGTTTGGTTGCTGCTGGGGTAGACGACACAAGGTTAAGCGCTCGAGATCCAAGAATACGGTGAATCGGAACGTGGTGTCGAATGTGGACCATTTAGAAGAATCTACGACGATCAGTAAGGACCTTTATCTGAACACATGGATTGCAGAAGTCAGCGTAGCTCATCCGACTGGAGGACTCTTGAGGACGTATTTGTCCTCCAAGCACCTCGGAGACAAGAAAGAGGAGACTGAAGCACTTATCCAGACTCTAGAAGCTGAGAAAAGTCTCTCTCCAATGGATTTTAAAGCCGCGGATGAGAAGTTAATTCACTCATCGAGGAAAAAGTTGGATAAAATCCAGAATAGCCTTGAAAAAACACAAAGGAAAATCGATATTATCAAGGATATTCTGCCGGAATTCAACGACGTAATGGACAAGAAAATGAAGAATAAGCCGAGGAACTCGACTTCGAAGGACATGTTGACAGCCGCTGCGAAAGCTGCTAAGACAGCAGCGATCAACACTCAGCAAGGATTTAATTGGGAGGCCTGCGAGTGCGCCTTTGTGGTGTTTAATAATCTGGAATCCAGACGTCGATGTCTTCAAGATTATCGCCACTCCACGCGCTGGATACCGCGCAAGTGGCAGCCTGAAGAACTGCGTTTCCGCGCGGATTTTCCGCTTATTGTGACCAAAGCTCCCGAACCATCAAACATTCTGTGGGAGAACCTTGAAGTTACCGACCGGGGACGCTTTTATCGACAATTAGTGACGAATTTAGTGACCATAGCGCTTCTGGTGACATCTTGTGCCATTATTTCGGCCGCTAAGACAGCTCAGGAGCAATTTGCGAGCAAAACCCCGCCTGAAGGCCTGTGTGATCGCGCTCTTCCAGCCGTATTTTACGCAGATACTTCGTTCTCTTACAATGCCCAAAAGAAACCCATTATGTGGTCTCTAGCTTGGGATTCGACACAAACTTGTACACCTGGAATATCCGGAGAAAATCGATACTACATTGCGTACTCGAACGGGATTCTGAATGATTTAGACTCTTCCAAACTGTCCTATGGCACTACCTACCGGAATCCCACGCGTTGTGTGGATCCCTGTATTTCCGATGCTAGTACAGAGGTATGTAATACTCTGCCGTGCTTTTACTATAAAGATCTGGTAATGACAGAAGATCGGTCATGTGAAGCCTACGAAACTAGTCACGTACTCTACTGCTACTGTTCTACCCAATTGACGACTAGTATCAAGAAACACGGCTTCGTTAATGGTGCTAAAAATCTATGGGATGTTCTGCCATGTCGTGGATTTACCAAGGATTATCTGGTCAAGAACGCCTT